AGCTGCCAGTGGGTGTATATTATCTTGATTGTCAAAATAAGTTTAGTTATTGCCCTTGACTTAAACATGTCAAACTTTGTTCATTAGCACTAAAGAAGCTGCAATTTTCAATCGATTTGAAACTTGGTGCAATCATTTGAATTGATAAGTTCTGGGGCAAGGAGTTCATTACTTCTGCAATGAACATTTTCTGTTTATTAAATAGAAACTTGACACAATATGATTCATGCTGATCTTTATGAAATCTAAAAAATTATCTAAGCTGCTATGTGGGCATATGTTTACTTTGCCTGACAAGCTATCTTTACATCTTAGAGTGTATTCACTTGACATCTGATTCTGATGTTAATGTTCATTAAACAGAGTTTCATGTCAACAGACAATTTACAGAATCTCATAACAACAAATTTAGATCTTCAATCAACTGACTAGACTAGACTCTATTGCTAATTAAAAAGTAAAGATAAAGATAAATCATCCATACCTTGATTTTACAACTTAATAACTAACTTTCATATCACTGTTTAGTATAGTTCTAATAGTATTATTATTGTAATATGTTAACCATAAATATAGTCAACAATCACTGAATACTAAAGTTTATTCAAGATCACTATTATTTTGTAATAAACTTTGTAATGTTTCAGAATGTTATATGGGGCTATGAACATTTCATTGTTAATACAGTATAATTTATGATTGCTCAATAACTGTTAAGAAATATAGTTGTTAGGCACGCCTTCCATGGTATGATCTTTTTAGAATTCTTTAGCTTGAATCAATAGTTGTATGAATTACTTTTCTTGAGAAATGATTAGACTGATCTGACTGAAATTTAATCCACTTTAACACCGAAAGGAGTTTTTTGTATGAGTTGTGGCATTTTCTTTTGGGAAGTGACATTTACAAAGTAAGATATGAATATAAAATAAAATTGTGCAGTAGAAATTGTTTATATAATTTGGCATTCACAGGAAAAGAAATGTGAGCCGCATCTAGATTTGGATATAATTTATGATATATTTCATTGGTTTCATGGTTGATTGGATCTTTAGTGTTCTTTGAGTTTTCTCATTGAAATTGGAATACACATTCTTAAGTCAATATTTTTTATCTGTCATGAGGCATATTGCATGATATAGAATTATAATAAGTACTAACATATTCCATTTGGGATTGGTGGTGTGGTTGCTATGGAAACTTTATGAATAAGTTTCATGCTATTGAATTCTTCTGGAAGCAATTCATCATATTTTTTTCTTTTTGATATAATTCTATTAATGTTGATTATTATGTGATTATATAGTACAGTGTGGTCAAATGAGGTGTTGAGTTCCTTCTCAAGATAAATCAATATTGGACCTGGATATATCCTGATATTCTTGTGATCAGACATTTTATATTGTGTTTATCTTCTCTACATGAAGAAAGGATTATAGGGAGAAATGTTTTAAAAGGCTTTGATATTAAAGTACAGTAAAGTAACAGTATTTTATGTTATGCATACGAATATAACATGGAGTAATGGATTTTGAAACATGTCTATGTTCAAAGTTTGCTTAGATTTGGGTTGACCGTTAAAACATTGAATATTTTAATGCATGTTTTGTAATATAATTTTGATACAAGCATAAAAAATGGCATCAGCAGTTCATTTTGAACAGAAGAGAAAAGTCAAACGAAAAAACAAAACTGGAAAGAATAAGTCAGATTCCTTAGAATGTTTGGCATCTGACAAACCTGAAACGGTAATTGAAGACCAACAAACAGAATCAAATGTAGAAGAGAATGGTTTTCAGGAATCAACTCTAAATAGACACGCAGAAATGTTCAGGTCTTGTGATTTATTTGCCAAAACAGATGATTTTGAGAAACTTTATGTAAAATATCAGAGTGTACCTCATCCTATTATTCAACAAATAACAAATAAACAGAAACAAAATTCAGTTATTAGTTTCTGTGTAAGTTTTAAAGCTATTGAAGGAATTGTGGAATATCTGAATTTGGTAAGTTGCCCAAATTAGATACTTAAAATTTTTATTATTCTACCATCTGCATAGTTTAATACGGAAGCGTATTAAGGCCATCAATTTTTTTTTTTTTTTTATTATGTTGAATTTTCAAATTAGCATGTTGAATTTTCAAGTTACTAAATTGAACATACTAACTTGAAAATTCAACATAACATACTAACTTGAAAAATTCAACATATTAACTTGAAAATTAAAAAAAAAAGAAATTGAATGTCCCTAATACGCTTCTGTAGTTTAATATGCTTATGGACAAAAAAAAACTGGGTTAGTGTTCTGAGATCAATTCCATAAAGTAAACACAGTGACAATAGATATTGATAGATTATTACTTTCTGATGGCCGTGGCTAAAAAAACTGTCATAATGGTTTTCATTTCAATGATAGATCTAGAAAAGATTGCCATTAACATTCTCATAGAATTACCGGTAATGAAAATAATTATTGTTAGTACAGTTTCAAATATAGTGTGTTTGAAATATTCTTCTTTAATTTAAACCATCCATCTGACCAGTCATATCTTAGTTTCAGAAACAGGATTTTTTTTTGAGCTAGGCCAATCAGTTATAGTGTTCACTGCTGACCTTTGAAATTTGAGCGTTCAAATCCATTGTGCGATTATCGTACATTTCTTTTACTTCTGAAGACTATTCACATATATTCAAGACCCAAATCATCCACCAAAAATGGCGAACCTGTCTGATATTCAAGTTAAGGTTCTAGATCATTTTTGCTCTAAATGCATGATTTTGACATTTACAATCAGAAACATCAAATGGTATTATACATTGTAACTTGCTCTAGGGTTTCTACCTATTTGATGATATTTATCAACAGTTCTTTGTTTGTTTTGGTTACCAAGAAGTGTTGACTTTAACAAACTTAAAATTTATTGATTCATTCAAGTTCTAACTTTATTCATTTAGTCTATTGACAAATGACTATTTGTATAAATATTTTATGCTTTGGCTGGGAAACTTTTTTTATAGAATCTTCCTGGAAATATACTGAATTATAGAGAATAGAAATCATATATTAAAATTGATGGTCACCAAGCCATTTCATCTATTGTAAAGTGATGAGTAATGCAGAAATCAGAAAATTGTGTAGTTTGTTGTCACACTTTATGCCTTTTTATACGCCCACATGAATATGTGGTCATATATTGTCGTCGCCCCTGTCCGTCGGTCCGTCCGTCAACATTTCTTGTGAGCACTATAGAGACTACAGTTTTCAACCTATTCTGATGAAACTTGGTGTGATCATTGGAATTGATAAGATCTCAGACAAGTTCTAACTTGACGCATTTTCGATGAACAGTTTTTGAGTTATTGTCCTTGACTTTGTTAAAACGCGTCGAAATTTGTTAAAAATAGTTCGTGAGCAGGATTGAAGCTACAGTTTTCAACCGATTCTGATGAAACTTGGTGTGATCATTGGAATTGATAAGATCTCAGACAAGTTCGAATTTGACGCATTTTCGATGAACGGTTTTTGAGTTATTGCCCTTGACTTTGTTAAAACGCGTCAAAATTTGTTAAAAATAGTTCGTGAGCAGGATTGAAGCTACAGTTTTCAACCGATTCTGATGAAACTTGGTGTGATCATTAGAATTGATAAGATCTCGGACAAGTTCTAATTTGACGCATTTTCAATCAATGGTTTTTGAGTTATTGCCCTTGACTTTGTAAAAACACGTCAAAATTTGTTAAAAATAGTTCGTGAGCAGGATTGAAGCTACAGTTTTCAACCGATTCTGATGAAACTTGGTGTGATCATTGGAATTGCTAAGATCTCGGACAAGTTTCAACTTGACGCATTTTCGATGAACGGTTTTTGAGTCATTGCCCTTGACTTTGTTAAAATGCATCAAAATTTGTTATAAATAGTTTGTGAGCAGGATTGACGCTACAGTTTTCAACCGATTCTGATGAAACTTGGTGTGATCATTGAAATTGATAAGATCTTGGACAAGTTCTAACTTGACGCATTTTCGATGAACAGTTTTTGAGTTATTGCCATTAACTTACAAAATACGCGTCAAAATTTGTTTGTGAGCACAATAGAAGCTACAGTTTTCAACCGATTCTGATGTAATCATTGGAATTGATAAGATCTCGGACAAGTTCTAACAAGAGATGTTTTTTGAGTTATTGCCCTTGACTTTGTAAACACGCGTCAAAAGTTGTTTTTTGCCCTTGATTAGAGCTGTGTGATTTAATTGTTTGTTGTATTTGGGTTATTTTGTGGAATTATTCAGCATAAATAATTTCTTCAATATGAGAAAATTCGTACTTTAGTCACTAAAGACTGTTTTATTATTTCTGACAGCTGCCAGTGGGCGTATGTTACCTTGCATCGCAAGCTATCTTTAATAAATATTAACAAACCACATTTGAAATTCATTATGCCACTTACAAATTTTGTAGTGCAAGACACAGCCTTATAGTTTATGACTTCAAATTTATTCTGAGCTATTTCCTTGAAAATCAAATGGTTTTAATAACCTACACCTTCTTATAATTAGTTTACAGTCATTTTATCTCATATAATTATGAGGTAAAGAGAATGTCATTAAATTCCAATGATTTATGTATATCAGGATGGTATAGACAGCTTTTATATTGATCTTCCTTTCATAAAAAGTATTCACAGCCAATTCTTATCAATTCTTAATGATTTCAGTCAGTCTGTGATTATTTGACCTTACAGGGATATAGTTTTGCCAAATGATAGAGCTGCAATTCAATTATCAAGACTGCATTACCAAATTAAATTTGATATCAGTTCTCCATTTTAAGAAATAGTTACCTCATCGATTTAGATTGTTATTTCTTCAGGGTGTTCTTAACTTTCTTTCTCATTCTTTATATCAGAGTTATATAGTTAATTGAGAAGCAATGATTTGTCATTTACTTTTTATTTAGTTTCTTATAAATGTATAAGCTTACTGTTTAATAAGCAGTGCTTATGTTTATCATTTTATCTGAATTGATATATACTGTACTGATTATATCATTTCAGGTGCCAGGTTCTCAGGCTGAATATCAAATCTCTGTCTCATTATTTGATCTGAAATTTAAATGTTTTTTTGGTAAACAATGGATTGGCCCAGTAGTTCCGTGTGGTCAGAGTAAAAAGATCAACTATAAACAGGTAAGGAGTGTCAATTTTCAGAACATTCATACCACTATTGACAAGGGTAATGCTAATGCTTATGATAGATATTAAGACTTGTACTGAAAAGCGTTAAAATATTTTTTCTTTTGTAATATTTTGTTGTTTATAAGGGTATGAACTTTCTGAATATGAAATATTTTATATGCTTGTTGGTATATAAGATTAAATTAAAAGTCATAGTAAAATATTTACTGATGGTAAAGTGTTTTATTATTGTTGGTTATACTTTTACTTTTACAGTTATATTTTGATGCTTCTTTTGCAGAATATTTACTTTCATACAGCCTATAAGAATTCTAATATACTTGGTGTAATAGAGATTATAGTTCATACTACTGATGAATTTGGTAAAGTTAGAAGATTATCGTGTGGATGGGGTGTGATTAGATTCTTTAAACATAATGAAGATATACCAGATTCATCTCGCGGATTACCACTTACATTACAAACGTACGTATTGTTTGATAGTTCTGTAAACAGTGGCCATGACATCAGATTTATTTCTTATTTAGGGAGAATTTAATGTACCAGACTACAACTTTTGACTTTAGTCATTCTTGTGACTTTTATTTGCAGTAATTGTTGTAGTCTAAGGTGGCCATAGATTATATCATGGGATCACTCACATAATGTCAATTTCTAAAAACAAACTTATATCCAAGAAAACAGTTAGTAATGCTATCCTTTAAATATGCAACCTAATTTGAAAATTAATTTTTCAGGTCTGCCATCTATTATGGATCACCAAGAGCTTTGTTTTTTCTTGAAGATCCTTTGGAAGGTAAGTGTCAATTGCCTACATTACAAAATAGTACAAGACAAATTAGTAGCAATAGTTTTAACTATTAGCTTGACTAAAATCAGAAGTCATCTGTCAATGAATGCGGTTCATTGTAGATTTGTTGTTAATTAAGATAAAAAAAGTTTGTTTTCTATTGAGATCTGGAATAAGATAAGCTAACACAAGTCTGATGTTTTATGTTTATAGAGAATGAGTTGATGAGACCAATACAAGATTGTCAGGCACACTATACTGTATGTACACATAAAGCTTTATTAAATGTACTACATTTAATACCAGAGAATGTTATAGTTGGTTCACAAGATGTTGTACCTGGACTGGTAGATGGTAGAGATGCTGGTATGTATCCAACAATGTTGAGTGTCTTTATTTGTTTCTGATTGATATTGAATGACATAGGTTTCCTCAAATGAATCCTAATTACACTTTGCTGGCTTACTCTAGATAAATTACTGTAAATGGCAAATTGACTGTTCCAATTGTGGTTGAATCTTTGTTTGAAATATATTTTTTATGCTATATTCCCAACCAGAATTATGAATTTGATAAAATAGTTTTTTTTTACGCCCATATGGAAATATGGAGTATACATTAATTGTATACAGGATAGAGGCTACAGCTTTTATCTGATCTTGATGAAATTTGGTATGCATGTATATATGTCAGTCAGGAATGGTTTTGGAGTTATTGCCCTTGAATTAATAAAAACGCTTCAAATTTTGCTTGTCATAATACAGGGTGCAGTTTTTATCTGAGCTCAATGAAACTTGGTATATATTGGTATATATATATTTGGTACTAATTGGATGAATGGTTCTGGAGTTATTGCCCTTGAATTAATTCAATGTGTCTAATTTGGCTTGTAGGTCTGATAGAGGCTACATTTTTTATCTTGATGAATCTTGGTATAAGACCTCAGTAAAGCTGAAAATTAGTAACAATCTGATAATTAGCCTCACATATTAAAGCACTACAGACTTTGTTATCATTTCTGACAGCTGTTTAGTGGGTGTATGTTACCTTGCCTGGCAAGTTATCTTTAGATAATATTGAATTTTTGATTTGAAGGTAAAGATAAATTTAAGAAGCCAAAGTTACTGAACACAGTTTCAGTCCATATGGAACATTTCTCCCTTCATCTCCAACCTTACGTAGATAAATTTGAAGAAGAACTATGTAATTTTTTGAAGTATGATAGATCACAACGTGAAAATAGATCTATTGAAGGATTACAAGTTTCTATAGCAGAAAGGAGACTTCAGGTAACATACAATCTTATAGAGAGAAAAAATATCATTTTCAGTTTCATATAGACTTAATTGATTTGAAAGATTGAACCCACTAGATTTTCAAAATTATGATGCAAAAACTGCAAAAAGAAAACAGGAATCTTTAGGCTCTTAATAGTAGGCTGTTTAGTTCATTTCACCACACACTAGCAAAAAACTTAAACATTTCCAGCACAAAGCTCAGATAAGCTAAGCCTAATTTAGTAGCTTGTAACCTGTAAGTTTCTAGTAATCATTAATAATGTCAATAGATATAAATCATATAGATTTTGAATTCAGAAGTAGAAATATTTAAGGAATGACCTGAACATTTTTTCAGTTTATCGATGTATAAACAGAGAAAACCTGTGTACACTGTATAAATCTGTGTAGCAGTTTATACATAAGTGTACACAGGTTTTTTCTGTTTATACATCGATAAACTGAAAAAGTGTTCAGGTCATTCCTTATAATTAAATCAACTCGAATACGTGCTTAAATATTTATGTAATATAACAACAACTTAAGGCACTTAATTGGCGCAAAAATACATAACATTTTAACATAACGTTAATGAACTGATACTAACAATAGAGATGTTATAAAGGACAGCCAATCAAAAACAAGCAGGTCATCCTATTTATAGTCTACTTTCTCACTGTCTGAAAGTTGATGGACCGGTCAAATATTGAAAGACAATGTTCGAAATAAGTCCAAAATTCATGATTTTGTTGGAATTTGGAGTGTGCACATTCGAGGGAATTGGAAAACACGGTTATCATTGAGTGAAGTGTCAATTTCGGTTCTGTCGAAGGAACGACATCGACTCTGTGCAGTGGCCACGTCAATCAAACCCAATGATAAAGTAGCCCGTGTATATTTACATTCTGTTTAAACATTTATAAACCGAACGCACATGACCACTCATATTATCCAATCATATTGCGTGATACTGTGTAAACAGAATTGTGATTTAATTATTCATAAATAATATTTATTATTTAAAGATTGGTGTCCATAATGGTTTATGTTATGTAGAGAAACCACAAACTGTTCTATTAGAAGAGAAACATGCTCCAACATCACGAAAACCTACAGCAAGTCCATCTGTTAGACGTAGTTCTAAATTTACTCATAAACGTACTGGTTCTACCGGTTCAGCTGGGTAAGTTTCACTATATATATATCTCAAAAGTTTGTCATGACTTTCAATCAGCCAAAAATTTGTTTGTTTTTTTTTTTTACTGAAAAGACTATACAAATGAAATTTAGCAGAATTTGAAAAAAAAAAATCCTTTTATTATCAGTAATGAGCCACTGTATTCAGTATACATGAAGTTGGTATGTTTTTTAGAAGTCAATCAACTAATTTAGTATTAAAGAATCCTGTACAAATTAATGATATATCTGAAGATCCATTGTTTGCTGTTATATTAAAACTAGAATATGTTATAGCTGAACCATTATCCGAAAATGATAGAAGGGTAGGTTTGTCTTTAATTATTAAGGAACCTGAACTCTTGAACACCAATTACCTTGGCTATAGTTCAAACTTTAACATTGATTTTAATGATTATATACTCATTTCATTCCCTTACAGGTAACATCCCCTCATGCTCAAGAGTAACCCTATTTCCCAATATTGAGAGATTATGTCTGCTTTTCATCATTAAGTCAAATTTACGAATTTACCTTTTCTTTTCTTTTTTATTTCTATTGTAGATGTCATTAAGTTATGCTAGAGCTCATACCAGAACTGTATCCTTGAGATGGGCCATATGGAATCCCTTTCTACATCCTAACCAATCTGAGATACATCTAGGATTAATAGGTGGTAATAAACAGTCCCCTGATGAAGAGTTTATCTATAAAATGCCTGATACTGATATGCAAGAAGAATCGGTCAGTAAAACAGCTGGTGGTCTGGCAATGTTTCTGTGGTCTTTTGAGGGCAAAGTTCAGGTAAACTTGATTTGATTTATTATATTATTCAATATCTAATATACAATCCAATGATTAGTAAATTATCAGTTTAATCAGAGTAATCATGTATATCAAACTTTATATTATGCTTTTAAGCATAATATAAAGTTTGATATACATGATTACTCTGTATTATATTTTGCAATTTTATTGTGTGCTAGGCCTCTGTAATATTATTTTTTCTAACTTTTTATTAAGCAGAATTGTTTATTCTTGTTTTTATAAAGGATCATAGTATGTTATCTGTACCACCACTGTCATACAACAATCAAATGTCTGGTTTATCAATATCATATAATGGATTGTCTCCCCACACCGATGCTGGCTATACTGGTGGTATCAATGGTTCAATGGCATCTATTCGTAGTGAAGGAGGAGAGAGTTTGATATATGAATCTGGGTCAACAAAGAAAAGGCCGCCATCAGGAAAACATAAGTATGTAAAGTATACATTAGATATATTTATATTTATTAAGCTCTTGATCTGCCACTAGCTTTGAATTGATATTTTCCTTATAGTTTTCTTTATTGCTTAATACTCACCGAAGGACTTGGAATTACTTGGCTCTGCAATGTTAAATACATGTGGGCGTATATTGTAATCACTCCGTCGGTCCGTTCACATTTGGCTCGTGCTCACTCTACAGGCTACAGTTCTTTATGGATTATTTTGATTTTTATTTTGTATGTCAATGTTGTTATGAAGATGATCCCTATTGATTTTCGTGATGATCGGATAATTTTTCCGATATCGTGTCTGACTTGACGTTTTACTCTATTAGCTATATTGTGCAACTCGTGCTCACTCTACAGGCTACAATTCTTTACAGATTCTTTTGATTTTTATTTTGTGTGTCAATGTCATTATGAAGATGATCCCTATTGATTTTCGTGATGATCGGATAATTTTTCACCGAAATATCGTGTCTGACCTGACGTTTTACTCTATTAGCTATATTGTGCAACTCGTGCTCACTCTACAGGCTACAATTGTTTACAGATTCTTTTGATTTTTATTTTGTATGTCAATGTCGTTATGAAGATGATCCCTATTGATTTTCGCGATGATTGGATAATTTTTCACCGAAATATCGTGTCTGACTTGACGTTTCACTCTATTAGCTATATTGTGCAACCCTGTAGTCACTAAAGACTGTTTAATCATTTCTGACAGCTGCCAGTGGGCGTATGTTACCTTGCCTGCCAAGCTATCTTTGAATATTTGAAGTGAAACTATATTGTATCCAAAGAATAATTTGTGACTGTCATATAGAAAGGTAGTTGTGTTAACCAATGTTTTCACTTGGAATTATTATGAATCATATCTAATTTGCTTGATTATAATTAAAATGTAGAATGTTATTAGAACTATGTAATTCCTATTGTTTACTATTATACAGACCTGGTATATTGTATCCTGCTCCATCTATAGAATCTAATCTCACATCTTATTCTTTAATAGAATCTGAATGTAAAACCATGTAAGATTATGTGTAGAATTTCAGTTTTCCAGGGTTACACTAATACCAAAATTTTATTGAAAATATGTACACAAACCATCTTGAATTCTATATCACTGCTTAATTTATTTTATGTTTACCAATTTGCACCAATGTTTGAGTTGATGTCAATATATGTTATAGCATCCAAGACTTTTCTACTAATTTGTTTTTTGTTATTTTGATTTCTTTATTGATTAATATTTTTTATTTTGATTCTTATTGATTTCCTCTTTATGTTGAAATGGTGAAGGACAAAACAAATATGATATATAACTTGACACAATTAACAATTATATAGATAATAATTACTTACATAAATAATTTATCATTGCTCTGCTAGTTTGTATCATTGTTTAATAAAGACAAAAGTAAAATCTTCGAAAAGTTGCAAGTTAAATATTAAAGTAATTGTTATCCATATAACTGTGTCCAGTTATATAAATGCCACTAAAGAAAGGAATCTTGATATAGCATATCCATAAGTATTAGTATGTGAATACCTTGCGTTAATCCATTTATCTCAATATTAAGTAAATCTGCTTATGACACTCTCTTCACGTTTTCAGATTGAAAAAAAAGAGGAAGTGGACTTTGCAAGGATGTCAGTTTTTATATGCCCACATGAATATGTGGTCGTATATTGTCGTCGCCCCTGTCCGTCGGTCCGTCAGTCAACATTTCTTGTGAGCACTATAGAGACTACAGTTTTTATCTGATTTTGATAAAACTTGGTGTGATGCTTTAGATTGATAAGATCTCGGTCAAGTTCGAATTTGACATATTTTCGATGAACGGTTTTTGAGATATTGCCCTTGACTTAGAACGCCTTGAAATTTGTTAAAAATTGTTCGTGAGCAGGATTGAAGCTACAGTTTTCATCCGATTCTGATGAAACTTGGTGTGATCATTGGAATTGATAAGATCTTGGACAAGTTCTAACTTGACGCATTTTCGATGAACGGTTTTTGAGTTATTGCCCTTGACTTTGTTAAAACGCGTCGAAATTTGTTAAAAATAGTTCATGAGTAGGATTGAAGCTACAGTTTTCAACCGATTCTGATGAAACTTGTTGTGATCATTGGAATTGATAAGATCTCGGATAAGTTCTAATTTGACGCATTTTCGATGAACAGTTTTTGAGTTATTGCCCTTAACTTTGTAAAAACGCTTCAATATTTGTTAAAAATAGTTCATGAGCAGGATTGAAGCTACAGTTTTCAACCGATTCTGATGAAACTTGGTGTGATCATTGGAATTGATAAGATCTCGGACAAGTTCTAACTTTACGCATTTCTGATGAACGGTTTTTTTAGTTATTGCCCTTGACTTTGTTAAAAGGGGTTGAAATTTGTTAAAAATAGTTTGTGAGCAGGATTGACGCTACAGTTTTCAACCGATTCTGATGAAACTTGGTGTGATCATTGGAATTGATAAGATCTCGGACAAGTTCTAATTTGACGCATTTTCGATGAACGGTTTTTGAGTTATTGCCCTTAACTTTGTAAAAATGCTTCAATATTTGTTAAAAATAGTTCGTGAGCAGGATTGAAGCTACAGTTTTCAACCGATTCTGATGAAACTTGGTGTGATCATTGGAATTGCTAAGATCTCGGACAAGTTCTAACTTGACGCATTTTCGATGAACGGTTTTAGAGTTATTGCCCTTGACTTTGTTAAAATGCGTCGAAATTTGTTAAAAATAGTTTGTGAGCAGGATTGACGCTACAGTTTTCAACCGATTCTGATGAAACTTGTTATGATCATTGGAATTGATAAGATCTCGGACAAGTTCTAACTTGATGCAGTTTTGACGAAAGGTTTTCGAGTTATTGCCCTTGACTTTGTAAAAACGCGTCAAAATTTGTTCGTGAGCACAATAGAAGCTACAGTTTTCAACTGATTCTGATGAAACTTGGTGTGATCATTGAAATTGATAAGATCTCAGACAAGTTCTAACTTGACGCATTTTCGATGAAATGTTTTTGAGTTATTGCCATTAACTTACGATTACTTACAATTTAATTGTTTGTTATATTTGGGTTATTGATATTCATTTTAAAAAATTTTGTGGAATTATTCAGCATAAATAATTTCTTAAATATGAGAAAATTCGTACTTAAGTCACTAAAGACTGTTTTATTATTTCTGACAGCTGCCAGTGGGCGTATGTTACCTTACATCGCAAGCTATCTTTATCTGATCTCGATGAAACTTGGTATGCATGTATATATGGACAAGATCTCAGTCAAGTTGAAATTGGTTACAATCAGGTGAACGCGGTTTTGGAGTTATTGCCCTTGAATTAATTCAATGCATTTAATTTGGTTTGTAGGCCTGATACTAGTGATAGAGACTACATTTTTTATACGATCTTGATGAAACTTGGTATGAGATCTCTGTAAAGCTTGAAATTAGTAAAAATAGGATGATTGGTTTCACATATTAAACCACTACAGTCTTTGTTATCATTTCTGACAGCTGGTAGTGGGCGTATGTTACCTTGCCTGGCAAGCTATCTTTAAAAATGTTATATGAATATCTGAATTTAATTTCTTGTTATGTATTTATAGGCCAACATCCAATCAACTTTATGCTGCATCCCTACAAGTACCAACTCATGCTCAAGGTGGAATCCAACCTCAACTGTACCAACAAACTCAACCTGGCATGCATGTTGCTCCACCAGTATATAATCAAATGTATATGGCCCAACAAGCAGCTATTTTCCAGGCCAATGTGATGGCTCAGGTAGTTTGATTTTTCAGCTATATCTATATGTCCTACTTTAATGAGATTGAGTAATGTTGAAAACATAAGTGACAGGGTCAGCAACATATTTTTGTTTGAATAATGTTAAGCAAGAGCTTTATTGCGTAATTGTCTTAAAAGTAAGAACATATTTTGTGTAATTTAAGTGTTTAATTAACTGATAGAGGGGAAATCATATGTTGTTATGATATTATATTTGTTATATATTGATATAGGGTCCTGAAAGTGAATTAAGAGAAATGCCATATAGACCAGCTCATACTCCTACCCTGACACCTGTACCATTACCTGTTGGGTAAGTAATCCTACATAACATATTATAAATCATCCCATAAAGTACACATCACATGTAGATATTACTGGATATCACTCTACAGCACTCTATTGAATTTGTTCAGTTAATGATAAATTGAAATTAGACTGAACCTCAGAACAATCAAATTTAGGCAGTTTTCTGTTCAAGACAGTAATTCCACTTTAAATGTATTAATTATTAGTGGTCAAGGTCTATCAAGAGCAGCTTATGCCCGTTTGTATACAGCTGGATTTAAAACTATACTAGATAAAAATGGAGAACCACCAGAAGTTATAGATCCACTATCTCGTATAAATATTAATCTTCAACGTGAACATGCTGATCCTTTACAGACCAATGAAATAGTCTTCCAATTCCTGGCTTTCTCCAAGTAAGAATTTATTTACAATATTTTTTGTTTTGCTTTCACATTTTTAATTTGTCAAAAGCTAAAGCCTCAAGTTCAGGCCCTCAACCAATCAAAATTAGTTTAATGAAAAATTCTGGCTTTGGTGTTCAATGCACATGTACTAAGACATTTTAATTCTGTTACATTTGCATGAATTTTCTTTCAGAATGTTGACTTTCGATGCCAATGGTCCAAAGAAAAATTCTGGAAGTGTTTTCTTCACTTTTCAATTTTACAGATTTCCTCAAATGACCACTGAAAGGTAAGTTAAGGCTAATGTATATTTGATAAATTTAATAAAACTTCCAAAAGAATTTCTTTTCTTGATCTTTTTAGTTTAATGATCTATACATATAGAAAGTTTCCTTTATATCATTAGAACTTTAAATATTCACAATTTTGAGCAATTCAGTTCAGTTCATGTTAATATTGTTTTACTAGGTTGTTATTGAGTGAACCTCAGAATGAACTAACATCTAGTTCAGAATCATTACCGTTTATATTGAAACGTCTAGATGGAAATACAGTTCATCTTACACCAGGATATGAGGTAATAATCATTACAGCCAACTGAGCATTATTTAACTTTATATGTGAAATGTAAATGCCTTATTTTAAAATCTACAATCACATGAACTCAGAGGACAATGGAATATTTTAACTCCTAATTGATTAAAAAAAATCAAATAAAAAATTTGTAGAAAGGCTTTTTATTGGTTTGAAAATTGTATCAATAATATAATGATAATTGTTTCCAATTTATTTTGTTTATTGAGGAGTTTAAGTACACAGTGCCAATATTGACACAAAATCACAAAACCTACTAGGTCATTGACGTGTTACATAACAGTTACCATACAATAATGTGATTATTGTATTTTGTAGGTGAGATATTACGTGGATCCAACATATCTAAAACCAGGAGAAGGATTTTTATTTTTACAACATTTGTCTCGTCAGATATTACATATTGATGTTTGGGATGGTGATTCTTTATTACAAATAGGATCTTGTGCTGTAGATTTAAAGGTAAGTATATTATTGTGGGACTTTGCTACTGCAAAGTCCCAGTTTGTTATCGAAATGTCAATTCTTTTTTTTTTTTTTTTTTGCAAATGTTTTTTTTTTTTTTTTTTTTTCTTCGAATTCTGGTCAAAGCGCCTAGCCAAAACTATACATGCCACGTAAATACTGTTAACATTTCTCCCGTTAATGCTGCGAGACTTAATCTGATGAATGTATTTTCATGCATTTTTTTCAAACCGGAAATGACATAGAACAAAATCCATTTTTTACGTTTTTGCTAATTTTCGGCTCCAATTTCGATCGGATTTTAATCGATCTTTTTTTGTTAATCAGTTCGCGCTATAAGATAGCAATTAAAAAATTCTAAAATTAAAACTTTTGTGGCTGACTTTTTTAGTTTCAATTTTTGAGGTTTTTCACTTTCTGCAATTTTATTTCGATCGATATGAAAACTTACAGATAGTTAGATATTTTGATTGTAAACTAAAATTAATTTTCAAAGTTTCGATATCACTTCCGGGTTTTGATGTTATTCGCTACTAAAGTTGAAATTTCAACTTTTGGAATTTTGCAGATATTTGAAAAATTTTTTTATGCAATTAGTTAGAGAAGTCCCCATAAAGATGTTGAAATGAATAAATTTGACACGGATGTATAGGGTCAGACGCCATCTTGATACACATTTATAAAACTCAAAATGGGGCCTTAGGGGTGAAGCCGATGTGTGTGATGTTAGTGTCTATAGAATCTGTAATCGATTGCTAACAAAACTCTTGAAGCCGATTTTTGAATTTCGGCTTTGCTTTTTTTTAATTTCCGGTTTTATTTTTTCAGTAATTGTTAAAACTGTTAAGGCATATATCTAGTTACCTTGACCTTTGGTGACCTTGTGACCTGCACAAATGTTGTGGCCCCTAACGAGATCTATCTAGAAATATATTTACCTTTGTCACGCGATGTTAACTTCCGGTTCTAGAGCCATTTGAAAATCGCAATTTTTATCTTTAGAGAGCTCTATCACGTGACCTAATCATCATACGACAAAATTTATTTTATTTCCTTAATGTGTGCGATTTCTTCTTTCTGAGGGAGGGGAGGGGCATAACTCGCATAGGATACATTTGTTCAAAAAGGAACTTTTCACACAATTACCTCATTATTTAGGCCAGTTTGTGTTAATAGGTCAATTGTTTCAGCTTTATAGTTCAAAAAAAGGAATGGGTTTTGAAATTTCCATATTTTCAATTTTCTATATTCTTAATGGACTTTTCATGCTCTTTCCAGTGATATATAACAATCGTTTTTTGAAGTAAAATTGAAATTCGTGAAATTTTTAAATTTGAGGTATTTTTTACAATATTTCTGTCTTTTTGAGCTTGGTGTGTATATATCTTATGACCTATTTGATGTAGAACATTGAAACTTGGAACACAACAAGACAATTTGAATATGAATTAACCTATGACAAAAAAGTTGAGGTGGGCGTGGCACATCCAGTTTGAATTACTAATTGCGTACATTTTGGGGAAGGGGCATAACTCGCATAGGATACATTTGTTCAAAAAGGAACTTTGCACACAATTACCTCATTATTTTGGCCAGTTTGTGTTAATAGGTCAATTTTTTCAGCTTTATAGTTCAAAAAAAGGAACGGGTTTTGAAATTTCCATATTTTCAATTTTCTATTTTGACCTTTATTGACATTTGTTGACCTAAATCTTTTGACCTGTATGCTGTAGAAGATTTAAATTTGAAACACAACATAACATTTAGAATATCTATTAACCTATGCAAAAGAAATTGATGTGGGCTTGGCACATCCGGGTTAAATTACTCATTATTGACATTTTTGGCAAGGGACATAACTCGCAACGTATACATTTGTTCAAAATGGAACTTTGCATACAATTACTTCATCTGTTAAGCCACGTTGTCTAGAAGTTCCATTGTTTCAGCTTTATAGTTCAAAAAAAGGAACAGGTTTTGAAAATTCAAAATTTTCAATTTTTGACCTTGACCTTTTTTGACCCTGACTTTTGTAGGATCAAAGGTCATTCACATTGGCTATCCATTTATACTTTTATATTTGCTGTCCTTTCTCAACTTCCGCTTTTAAAGCCGTATATATTTCAAAATTTTGATGACTTGTATCTCGTAGCCTTGACTTTTGTTGACCGTCTCCTTTTCAATGACCTTGGCTATCTTCTGATACTTTCATTTGTGAGGTCTGTCTACTTCTGGTATAACAATCTTCCAAAGAATCAAAACTTCTCAACTTTAGACTGCTCTTGCACGTGATGTAATTATCGTAGAAGGTTGATTTTTTCAGAGTCTTTTGCATTTTGCTACACTCCCACTCTGTGCCACGTGTGGCTCTAGTCTTCTACTTTTTATTAGATCAATACTTTTAAACCCACTTACTCTTTTATTACATTGAAAAACTAAGTATTTTAGTAGCTATTCTAGCTGATATACTGTTGTTTTATTGTTACATATTCCAGTTCATTATTTCTATCTTTCAGTATCTATGTAGAAGTGGAAATGAGGCTGTTCAGACAACTTTCGAATTGGATGTTATAAAAACAGACTACCCAGATGAGATGAGTGCTGTTAGTGATGATAGGACAGGAGTTAAGGCCCCTGGTTCTCACTCCTCATTACAAGGAAAATTACATCTACGTATGGCCAATATAGGTCATGCTTTAGATTCCAGGACTGGTAAAATTGGTAAGATGATTTTGTCTTAGAAAGAATATTGTCTGTTGATTTTAATTTTTCGTATCTGTGACTTTCTTTTGACCATTTTATCTGTTATGATATCATACTGGTGATTGTTATTGTACTGGCAAATATTTTCGTTTAAAATCGAAGCTGCTGGTGGGCGAATATTACCTTGCATGGCAAGGTATCTTGATTGATCTCTAAAAATGTTTTTACTTGATGGTATCTCTAAAAATGTTTTTACTTGATGGTATCTCTAAAAATGTTTTTACTTGATGGTATCTAAAAATGTTTTTACTTGATGGTATCTCTAAAAATGTTTTTACTTGATGGTATCTAAAAATGTTTTTACTTGATGGTATCTCTAAAAATGTTTTTACTTGATGGTATCTCTAAAAATGTTTTAACTTGATGGTATCTCCAAAAATGTTCTTACTTGATGGTATCTCTAAAAATGTTTTTACTTGATGGTATCTAAAAATGTTTTTACTTGATGGTATCTCTAAAAATGTTTTTACTTGATGGTATCTCTAAAAATGTTTTTACTTGATGGTATCTAAAAATGTTTTTACTTGATGGTATATCTAAAAATGTTTTTACTTGATGGTATCTAAAAATATTTTTACTTGATGGTATCTCTAAAAATGTTTTTACTTGATGGTATCTCTAAAAATGTTTTTACTTGATGGTATCTCTAAAAATGTTCTTACTTGATGGTATCTCTAAAAATGTTTTTACTTGATGGTATCTCTAAAAATGTTTTTACTTGATGGTATCTAAAAATATTTTTACTTGAAAGTTATCTATTTGTAGATATGTCACCATTGCCAAGTAAATCACAAGTTATTGTATCTCAAACAGCTGGTAATAGTAAATATAAAGGTGGTAGTTTATCTCATACAGCTAATGTTGTAGGTAGGTAATATAAGATAAACAGAAATATTTTATACATGTTGTCATATACATCGTCATGTGTTATTCCATTCCAGAAATTGCCAGAGAATAACCTTTTCTAGTCAAATGCCAACTCAATTGACTCAATAAGGCTTTTCACATCTCAGTATGACGACTCTATGGTTTTAGTTACATGCTGTGATATTCTACATGTTATAGTTTTTAATTATTCAGACATAAACTGACTTCATTTCATTTACCGGTATTTAATTCCTAGTTGAAACCAAGAAAATGGTAAAGAAAGCCAGAGCCCATCATTTAGCTGACAATCGAGAAGTAGCCACTCTATTATTTTCTGACAAGACAACTATGCCTCATAATGATGAAAATGAAGTAACAAGAGAAGGTGATGCAGAAAAACAGAGAAAATTAGCTAGAATGCAGGCTATTAGACAAATGTCTTCTACAGACAAACCTCCTAGTAGTGTTATGGTCAGTTTGTAATGAGTTTACATTATGTATTATGTCCAAAATAGTTAATGATTAAACCAAAAAATAGAATGTGAATTTCAAATAGCAAATAAATAGTGTTTAAAATACAATATTTAAACTTAATATTGACATTAATAAATTTATATTTTAGTAAAAAATTGTTCATAGAAATAGTTGTTGTTCAATTCGTTATTCATTCAACTTTTATTACTACATGTGTTTTATGTGCAATATTCATGTTAAGTTTTCGATCTTTTATTAGGGTTATCGTAAAGATAAAGCTGATAGAACTAGAGACTTAAAGACGATAGAAATTTATCGTTTACAAACTAAACGAGATGGTATTTTGAGTATGTTAAATGAATCAATTACTACAGAACATACTATATTTCCATCTTTTGGTACTACAGAATTCTTCGAGTTTGTTTTTCGAAATCCGTTTAATACAGAACAGACTATAACAGTTGAATGTTCAGATCCAGATTTACAGTAAGTTCAACTTATATCTTCATTCTATTAACAATCAACAATGGCATGGGAAACCTCTGTAGTATGATTTTTGATTCATCTTTTTAATCATATTAAATGTTTCAACAGTCAACTTCTGGTTTGCTTCACATATGGCAATCTAACAAAGTTTCTGAAAGAAGTAATGGTTTTAAGCGTAATTTATGATTGTATATGTTATTGTTTATTATAGGGTTGTAACTAGTACTAGAGAATGGAGACATTTTAAAACATTAGGACAGTTACCAACTCAACTGGAAGAGAATATGTTTAGTAAAGATAGTCAGTCTGATTCTCCACAATTATTTCTTCGAGCTAAAGAAACAGTTAATATACCACTACGATTCCGGTCATATCTTACTGATCAATCTACTCAACCTCAGGTTAGTTTTCTACTCATTGTATTCCAAGATCATGATTTCAATATTTCTTTTCCAGAATTGATTTTTTAATGAACTGAAAGTTTATGTCACTGCCTTTTATCGTTCTATTTAAAAGGAGTTTTAAAGGAGGATTTTTGCTGCTTATACTAATTACTATAGTTGAACCTTATAGTACTGGAAAGTTGTTTTAGGGATTTGGAAATAAATATGACTGTTAGTAGTAATCATAATGATTTTGTTAGTATTTTTGTTGATCTCATAACTGAAATAAATCTTATAAATGACTATGATCTCTATTTAGATGCCTGTTGATCAATTAAAGAATAATAAACAATCAACATTTAAAACAGGAGATAATCAAATGGAAGATTTGATGCAATCACGAGTTATCAAGGTCAGTTTTATCTCATTCATAAAGCCTTTTTAAGAAATTTAAACCTTCGTTCTTCGAACGCACTGCATTGTTTTGCAAATGACTATTTTTTTTTTTTTTTTTTCTACTTCTGGTCATGCTCCCCAGCCAAAACTGCACGTCACACATTGTCTGACACTATTATTTCTTATACTTTGCGTGTCGCTAAATGTAAAATGACGCATTTTCTTCCAACCAGAAATGACGTATGACGTTTACTATTCATTACGTATTTCGAATTACTGCTCTAATTCTGCATCTATTTTGACCGTAACTTTTGTTTTGTTCATTACTTTAAACCAATGACTAAAAGATAGCACTTTATAAAATTTCAGATTTTGACTTTTGTCGTTGACTTTTTTTGTTTTAATTTTAGCGTTTTTTTCAACGTCTACAATTTTATTTCAATCGGTCTAGAAATTTAATAGTAGATAAGAATTTTGATTCCTGACAAAAATCTATTTTCAAAATTTCGATATCACTTCCGGTTTTGACGTCATTCGCCTCTAAACTTGAAATTTCAACTTCCGGAATTTTGTAGGTATTTGAAAAATTCTTTTTGAAATTAGTTAAAATTGTCCCTATAACAAGTTTGGAATGAAAAAATTTGAACCGGAAGTAACGTGTTAGACGCCATCTTGATGTGACCAATTTTTGTAAAAATCGATATTAAGCTTCAGGGGTAAATCTGATTTGTGTGATTTTGGTGTCTAAAGAATCTGCAATCGATTGCTAACAAAACTTAGGAAGCCGATTTTTGAATTTTGGATTCGTACTTTTTTTATTTATGGTTTTATGTTTTCAGTAATTGTCAAAAATATTAAGGCTCATATCTAGTGACTTTGACCTTTGGTGACCTTGTGACCTGAATAAAAGTTGTTGCCCCTTACGAGATATATCCGTTGATATCCTCACTTTTGTTGTGCATCGTTAACTTCCGATTCTACAGCCATTGGAAAATCACGATTTTTAACTTTGAAGAGCTCTGTCACGTGACCTAATTAACATACGACAAAAATTCTTATATATTCTTTGAGTGCATAAAATCTCCTTTTTGGTGATATATCACACTTGATATTTTGATCAAAATTGCGCGTTTTAAAAATCGCAAATTTTGTACTGACTTCTATAGTAACTGTGCGTAAAATCACGGTGTCTATAATTTACATACAGTCACCGTTGCCCTAAAAAAAAGTTTAACTACGAATATCTCATGATCTAATGATTGTAAAGACTTGAAATTTTGAACATTATTTAACAATGTACACATCATCACAGACAAATTAAAATTTTTGAAGTGGGCGTGGCACATCCGGTGGGCATTAACCTTTACCTGAAATATTTGCAATTGTCATAACTCGCAAAGTTTGCAATTGTCATCCTAGAAATTTTGCATGAAAATAGATAATTGCTTAGGACAATTTGTGATAAGATTACAGTTGTTTGCGTTCTTTACTTTAAAAAAGGGAACAGATTTAACAATTTTAAAAAATTTTATTTTTGAACTTTAATGTAAATGACAAAACAGCAATTTTCGAAACTTCAAAGGCTCATATTACTTTTATTTAACCTTTGTTGACCTTTTGACCTGAACAAAGGTTGTTGCCCATTACGAGATATATCCGATAATATTTTCACTTTTGTCGTGCTCCGTTAACTTCCGGTTCTACAGCCAATTGAAAATCGCAAATTTTAACTTAAAAAAAGGTCTATCACGTGACCTAATTTAGATAAGCGAAAATTTATCTTTTGTCCTTATTACACGCAATGTATTCTTTCAAATGATATATAAAACTTGGTATTTTGATTGAAATTGAATTTGAAAATTTTGTATTGACTTCTTTAGTAACTTTGCGTAGTTTTAACGGTTTCTATAATCCACCGACAGTCACCGTTGCCTTAAAAAAACTTTTAACTACGAATATCTCATGATCTAATAATTGTAAACATTGAAATTTTGAACATTATTTGACATTGTACACAATATTACAGACAACACAAATTTTTTGCAGTGGGCGTGGCAAATCCGGGTTACTTTTACCTTTACCATAAATAATTCAAATTGTTATAACTCGAAAAGTTTGTATTTGTCACCATCGAAATTTTACAAAAAATTAAAGCACTATTTAGGACAATATCTGATAGAGTTACATTTTGTTTAGGCCTTTTACTTTAAAAAAGGGAATAGGATTTAAAATTTATAAAATTTTGATATTTTGACCATTTACATGCATAATCTTGGTCTTTAGAAGGTCAAAGGTTATTGATCTACGATGTCCATTCATACTTTTATCTTTGATGTCCGACATATATTTTTGCTTTCACAAACGTCCCAAAACAGCAATTTTCAACACTTTTAAGGCTTATATTCTCTTTTATTTGAACTCTGTTGACCTCTTGGCCTAAACACAAATAATTGTACCTTTCCAATAATATTTTCATTTTTGTTGTGCGAATTGAACTTTCAACTTTACAGCTATTTGAAAATTCGACTTTTTACTACCGAATGTTAACACCTTTTAGTACCGAATGGTATCAAATTCATGCGTCTTTTCACTACCGAACGGTAAACGTTTTAAACGATTTTTTCTACTATTGAACGTTTACATGCTTTTCTTTCCGGTAAGAAATCCCATTGTGACTTTAAAATGCAACGTTTTATCGATGTATCAGGTTAGATGCGCACTGCTTCGGTACCGTTATAACGGTTCTAGTTTAATTTGATATCAAGTGTTATTCATCCGTGAAATGATAAATTTTTCAACAAAAAAATAATTTAAAAAATTGGACCCTGTTAAATAAACAATGAATAAAATAAGTTTTTGTTTTCATTTATAGGTATATTTTAAATCGGAGGAAAGTAAAGCCGTAGCTATCCTATCTTTGAAAGTTGAACCTCAACCTCATGTCATAGATCAAACATTCCGTTTTTACCATCCAGAACAATCATTCTTAAAGAAAGCCATCAGGTTACCTCCCTTTCATACTCTACCAGGTAATTATTGATTCATATTGTAAACATTTTCCACTGGTATACTTCTGGAATATTTATTACTTCAACGTTTCAATGTGGTTCTCACACCGTCATCAGGAATATAATGATACAAACAAGTAACTAGAAAATAAAGAAAAACTGTGGATTAACTACTTATGTGATTAACAGGGGAAACAAATTAATTTGGATGGATATGTAAAGGAAGCCAATCAGGATGATACAGATAGCAGGGGAGATCAAAGGGTAGAATTAAAGGAGTATGGTATCCCATATTTTTGGTAGATGGTAGCCTTGGTCTTGGTTGAGGGCAGGTTGTAGTTTCCTTATCAAGATGCTCTCTTGGTCTTTTCTGGTAACTTCATCTGCAAGGTTGGTATGGAGGGCCTCTGACTTATTCCATTCTATGATGTGGCTTGGATTATCAATGAGGTCCTGACTCAGTGCTGAGTTCCCATTTGTAATATTACAGGAGGTCTTGTGTTGTCTTATTCGCATTTTTAACGGCTGTCTACTCTCACCTATATAACTTGCTCCACAATTGCATTTGACTTGGTATACTATGTCTTTCTGCATTTCTTTGTTGATGGTACTGGAATCGGTTCGACCATTGGCTTTTAAAACTGTTTTCAGACTGGCTGTTGTAAAGAATCTCGTGGAGATACTGGCTAGTTTTGTGATCTTCCTACTGATTTGGTAGCTGGTGGGCCTATGAATGGGATGGTTATGTTGATGGGGAGGTTGATCTGGTTTGGTGGTTTTATTGGCCAGGTTAACTTGTTTAATAGTATGTGCTATTAGGCTGCGTGGGTACTGGTTGCATCTACTAAATACATTAGTCAGGTGGTCTATTTCTGCTTGGAAGGACTGTTGATCACTGCAGATGGACTTTGCTTTGGTTACTAGGGCTTTGATGGTATTTACCTTAATGCGATTGGGATGGTTTGATTTGTAGTTGATATACTGGTCTGTATGGGTAGGTTTTCTGTAGACTGAAATGTTAATTGTTAGATCGGTTTTCTTAATGAGGATGTCAAGGAAGGGTAGCTGATTGTTCAATTCTTTTTCTACGGTGAATTGGATTCTGGGGTGGTGAGAGTTAAGGTGGTTTAGTAATGTGATAGGGTCGGCATCTTTAGGGATAATGGCAAATACATCATCAAGTTTGCGTAACCGGCATAGGGGATTGATAGGTGAGGTCGTTAGGGCCCATGTATAGTTCAGAAATCAGTGGGGATAGTGGTGAGCCCATGGGTAACCCATGAATTTGTTGGTAGGTGTGATTATCCCAAGTGAAATAAGTAGATGAGATGCATGCCTCTAGAAGGGTCATAATGTTATCAGTGTTGATGGTGGTGTTCAGTTTGTTGCGGTTGGTGTCTATTTTCTGTTTGATGATGGAAAGAGCGTCATTGGTGGGGACATTGGTAAATAGGTCAACCACACCATAACTAACCATAGGGCCACCCAAATGGTTTTTATCTACAAAGACCCTGTCAAGATCCGTATCCTTGTATGCTCCAGAGGAAGTGTATTTTACACTACAGCACAATTCGGTACAAGCTACTATCACCCTTTAGCAAATTAGCAAACTCCGATATCCAAGATTCCTCCACCTTTTGCACAGATATTACTACTAAAATGATGATACAATGATGATAATGGTATTTATTTTATGTAGGTAATCTAATTGATACAATGATGATAGTGTTATTTATATTATGTAGGTAATCTAGTATGATACAATGATGATAATGGTATTTATATTATGTAATATAATACAGCGATACTGTTATTTATTTTATCTAGGTAATCCAGTGGGAGGAAATAGTGTTAACAAAGTCTTTGTTAGATGTAGTGATGATAATGTTATCACTGATAGCAAAGCTACTCAACCTGGTGAACCTCATGATGTTTTCTTTAAGGTATTTAATTTATGAAATATATTTTTTTGATAATTTGAAAAAAAGACCTACATGGCCTGCTTTGGAACCAAACAAAATGGCTAACCCTTACCATATCCAATTACATACAGTAAACAGATCATATTACATACACAATCAGAAAAACAATCATAACGTATCAGGATTTAACAAGGAATGACTCAATTAGTGTATCTGTCAACATTTCAGTCATCTCATTATTGTTATTTTTGTCTATAAAGATATTTCATGTTTTTTTGATATTTTTAGGTTGCTATGGGAGCATCACCACAGAGAAAAAGATTTTTTATTGCTATCTATATTGACCCTTTCCTATCCCGGCCAATACAGATATGGCAGGTCTACGTTCATGCTTTACAAAGAGTTGATTTAGCATGTGTTGAGGGACAGACCAGTCGCTTTAATCTTTTACTCAAGTTAGTAATTGTTTTTCAAAACTAAGTATTTCATTATTTCTAATTATTGCAAGAGTTTCTAAATAGATTTATTTCTACTTATCCCCCATTCTTATTTTTTTGTAACTGATGATTTGTATTAACAAACAGTACTTGAACAAAAATTCTAAACTTGCTTCCATTGTTTTTACAGAGGAACTCAGGCTTCAAGATTAGTAAGATGTTATTCATCAAATGAGGTAGAAATGCAGTTATCACCCAATGATCAGTTTATGTTAGCTGCTGGAGCTGTACATGAATTAAATGTAGCTGTAAGATGTAATACTGTGGGTAATATATCATACTATATTAACGTAGTAGATGTGGAATATCATCAGTTAGTAAGAAGCTGGTTAGTTTGTGTTAATTGTCGAGCTCCTATTGTCACCAGAACCTATGATCTCATTCTACCGGTTGGTGGAGGTAAAGGTTCCAGTAAGA